GAAAAAATGAAATTAACAAAAATACCAAGCTCCAAGGAAAATTTGAAAAGGAAAGCCCATTAACAAATGGCAAAATCAAAATCTCAAACACATCAAACGAATGGAAAACAACTGTCATATTTCTGACTCGGTATAGGCATTTTAAATAATTTTTTTGACTGCAGGTAATGAGATCTAAATTTAAGGCCGAACAAAAATGGTAATACTGATAAGTAACTTTTTGTTCCAGTTTTGAAAACTTAATTGTCTGAATAAAATAGTTTTACCACATCCTTTAATTTATCGGCCATTCTTTAAAAAAAATGATTTCATTTTTATTACAATATAATAAAGAAAAACTGATCTTGTGTCCACGCTCACTTCGAAGCAACGTTTTTTATTACTAAAAGTCACCTGTTTTAAATAATAAAATATTCAAGGCTTCATTTGCTCGCATTTCTTTCTGTTGTTCGTATAAATATGAATCTAATATCAGGCAAATACAAGAAAAAAGCAATTATTTTAATTTAAATAAAACTAAAAATGACATCTTATTGAAATATATTTTGTCAGGTTTATTACGTTTTTACAGCTACTTTGCCATGCTTTGTCGTTAGTATCCAATCAACTGTCATATCGGACATTGCTTGACGTGCGGTGATGCTTAAAACAATCAACTTTACTTCATAGAATGACACTGTCAAAATTAAGGACAAGGTTATTTTCAATATCAAAAGTAACTTACTTCATTGTTGAGTTTGTGGTTTGTGGTTGTGCGATCCCAAAAAAATGTTGATTTTAACAAAGTGATTTGCAGCTGGTGTCATGAATTCGAGTTTAATGTAGAATAAATCATCAAACATACATTACTTGTCATTCGTTAAAAAAGAGCGTATCGATATATATATATTGATCACAGGCTTCCAAAATTTCCTGACGACAGCCGGACATTTTTCAAAGAAATATTTTTGACGGTCAATGATCAGCTGGATACTTAAATGTAACTGAGAGGATGTATACATTGATATATGTGTCTAAATAATTAGTAGTGTTATATGCAATAAAATTATTTATAACTGTTTTGTTTTCGTCATTCTAAAAATTAAATAAAATATTATCCTCGATATTGTGTCATTATTCTGTGTATCGTAATACAGTAACCATCATTGCATCAATCAGCTTCAGTTTCTGACTGTTCTCATGTTTTGTTTCTGTTTATATAATCTATCTTCTCTCTGTGAGTACTTAAAAAATTAACACTTTGTAAATTAAGGCCATCTTTTTTGAAACTGTTGATGTTGGCTTTAATTGCAGTACAACTTGATCATCAATACACGTGATACTTTTCTTTTTGTGTATTGATTACCTGACCACGTGACTTTTACAACTGATGCGGTATTTATAGTTAACATTGAGGAGGCCCAATGAAGGATATTGTTTTAAACCGTGTAAAATCTACTGAACAGTGATGACGTTTTTCTTTGTACAATTTCCCAACCTGATTTCGAAAATAAGGAATAAATAAAAACATACTCAGTTGATAAATAATTTAATGAATAACAACATGATAACTTATGTAAGCATATAACAACAATAAAATATCAGAAGAGCACAATGTTGACAAACACAAGCAATAAATATTACAATGAGCACATTGAAAAGAAGCACAGATCACAGCACAAGATTAGAGTTCATTTAGTCTAATTTAAGATTTTACATTCATGAGCTTGATAAATGCATTGTTCTGATAAACATGGCGGTTACGAACGGATTGCCATTTGCGGATAGCAGGAACAGGGTCGAAGTCTTTAACATCTACACCTACTAAGCCTATCCTCATAAGTTGATCTAAAGCGTCAATACCTAGACTACACCTTAGTTTTGTCTTGATAATGTTTTGCCTTGAAAAAACCCTTTCACATTCAACACTAGAAACCGGCAAAACACGTGAAATTTCCATTAGCGAAATTGCATTTGGGAACTGGTCTTTTCTTGAAATAATTGCAGTCAACAGATCGGCAAACGAAAGTCCCTTGTAGTTGTTGAAGATCAAATACTTAAGTATGCCCCATTCTATTTGTAGTTCTTCTTGGTTGACTATACTATAATGGTCTCCGAGACACTGTAACTGTTGTTCACCGTAGCGAGGAAGGTCGGCATCATTACTAGGAAAGTTCGACGGTTCAAATACAGAGAATGCTTCGAAAATTTTGTTGTCTGGAAATCGGTCACGAATGTTATCATGTATCAATTGGGCACATTGCACGGCTCTTGTCTTGAGATGAATGTCACGGTGGTTACGTTTAAAGGTGATAGTGTTGAAGCTGTCAGATTGGTCTGTTGATTTTAGAAATTCGGCACATAATGGTCCAAAATGAAGGAAGCTCGGTTAAGTACTCGGCCTCTATTGCCATGAGAAAAGAGTCAACTAATTGTTTCACGGTGGCATAAGACAAGTCACGTTTCTGGAGTGATTTGCTGAGCTGATTAATTTTACCAAACAGGTCAGACAAAAAGTAGAGCATGAAAAAGAACTTGTATGTTGTCATACTGTTGTGAAGAGAATTAGCCACGATGTCGGTGTCACTCTGGTCGCCTAACATGTTTACAACGGAAACAACAGAACGGCGGAGATTGTCCAAAGCGTTTCCCTTAGAAAGCCAGCGGACTTTATGAATGTCAAGCGGATTTAACAACGGATCATCTATTATTAGTTGCCATGATCGTAGTTCGGATAGGTTTGTGGGTGAACGTTTGTAATACGAATATACAATGCTAACAATGCTTTCTAAAAATTTAATGTCCGGAATTTCTTTTGCCGTGTCGACACAGGCTAATGCTAGGCGGTGAGCTACGCAATGAACCTCTACTAAGTGTGGATAAGTGTCTTTTAAAAGAAGAGATACACCTCCATGCTTTCTTATCATAATCGACGCACCGTCATACCCCATGCCGAATATTTTAGACAAGTCTACACCAAATGACTTTAAATAGGCAATTATATGTGCAGTAATTGACACGGCGGTACCAGAAGACAAGTTCAAAAGTTTTGTAAAACTAATTTTCAGTTCACCAGCTTTGAGGTATGATAAGTACAAAATTAAATGTTTTTGCGTAGCCAGATCAGTTGACTCGTCGATCATAATTTCCACGGCGGGACTTAACTTTACGTCGGACATCACCTCTTTCTCTATAATATCGGAAATTGTCTGAATTAATTCGGAGCAGGCATTGTTCTCTTGATATAATTTAGAAGTGATCACGGCACCATTTAACTTAGTTAAATCATTTATTGACTGAAATTTGTCCATTGGTAAGTTTTCTTTAGCAATAAAGTAAGCATTACGAGACAAGGTGCACATTGCGTTGTCAGTCTTTTCATGAACTTTCTCAAATACTGATACAATTGGATTACTTTTGGAAGCTGTCTCTAATTAAAGAGCTTGAACGTGGTCATTGCCATTAGCATGCTCTACAACGGCTGATTTTGGAAAATTTTTCGAACCAGGCTTTACAAAGTTATTTTTAAGTTTATGTTTTTGACAAATGTCACAAAACATGGCATTTAGCATACTGTCAAATCTTAACCATAAAAACAGTTGTAACCATTTATGACTAAAGCTTCAAGCATTTTTAGCAGATTTCGAATTTTGATCGGAATCGTCACGTTTACGTTTGCCCATGATGGCAGATTTGTAAAGTTCAATTGAGACAAAGTCTTTATAACAGTCGGAGATTGTAATGATTGGATATTCTTCTTTATGATTTCAATTATAAAAACAGTTTTTAATATGAAAACAAGAATAGAGAACACCCCCCTTATTTATTGGACAACTCAGCTTGGTATACCCAAGCGAAGCTATCCTCGGTGTTTTTCCTATATATTTCAATAAGTTTTCCCCTTTAGAGTACCCCAGTATTTAACACGATGTACAGTGTTAAATAAAATAATATATATCATACTTATTCATTTATAAATATCCTTATTTGAAGAATAACTTTTAAATATCAGGATACTTTTTTAAACTGAATGCTCATTTAAAATAATATCTATAAAGCGTAATTAAATAGGATGTTGTTCCATACACGCTTACATGTTTGACCTCGTTTACCTGATCACCTTTATGTACATTGTTATGCATCATTAATTCTATTGATAAAGACAAGCTAAGGACACCTCATCAAAGGTAACAAACCTGTAATCAGTGAATGATTTATGGCTTCAATATAACTTATTGAAGGGATAATTGTTTGACAGCTTGTTGTTATTTAAATAAAAGAAAACGTGTTTTTTTCTACTTTTTATTGATGTACACAAGCTAAAGACCAAGCCGTACATTTATGTACCCAGAGGATTAGACTAACTGAGACACTTCAAAGTATCTGAAATTAAATATGCTGCATCTGTTTTATTAAACCCAATTATGACCGAAATATCTTTGTGAAATAGATTGCCACAATTATAAACTAAAATGCCCAAACAAACATGCCCAAAGCCCCAAACGGACATTTTTATCGATCGATAGTTGGTAAAAATTGAAATGACCGTTTTACGAAAATGCCTTGAATAACAAAAAGTGGCAAACAAATTCTATTTGACCGTTTGAGGCTGAGAGCAGCCGGACTTTTTATGAAAGTTTCGGTCAAGTCCGGAATATATGACCGTTTTGGAAGCCCTTTTAATTATTATTATTTATTATTAATTTATTATTATTCCACACTATAATGTCTTTTTCAATTTGGGTCTCTGTGGCCAAGTGGTCAAAGTGGTTAATCTACTGTATCAATATCCTGTCAACACAGAGGTTATGAGTTCTAACCCCGCACATGCGGGTGTTTCGACTCCAATCTTAATTGACTAGGATTGCCAGTTTTCTTACCGAAGATCAGTGGTTCTCTCTGGACACTACGGTTTCCTCAACCAACAAAAAATGGCCGCCATGACATAGCCAATAGTACTGAAAGTGGCGTTTACTATCATCAATCAATCAATATACCGTTTTTTTAAATTTTTGTTACAGAAAGCGAACCGACTGAACATGAATCTGCAGATTCCGATACTGATAAAAGAACTGCCCCCAAGAACCGAAAATCAGATGACTAAGAAGCTAATGTAAAAGACAAGGAAAAATGTTATTGAAAAGGTTACAACTTTAACATAGTCTGGTTTCTAACACATATATATATATACATCTTAGAGGCCCAGGGCTGATTTCTGTAAAAACAAATTAAGGGAACAAAACTATATCATGCTTTAACGAAAATAACACTTTATAATTTGGGTGCGTCCGAAGCGTTTTCTTGATTTACCTTCATCAGGAACACTCAAATGAAAGGGCAATTTAGGGAAAAGTAAGTATTTCGAAACTTGGAAAGCAATTATTCATTATTTTTTACTTGTTTCAAAGATGACTATGACTGTGACTTTTTTTGGCCTCGTCTTGACTGAAATTTTAGCTATGAACGTACCTTTCAGAAGATTATTAAAAAAAGTAATTTGTAAGGAAGGAATTTGGAATGTGTGAATTTTTATGCATTTGTATTCATAATTGTATCATAAAATTAGCTGTTGAACAAAGAATCTTGGAAAAAATATCTTCTCACATGCAATATGAAACAAAAATTTTAACGATAAATAAATCTGTATAATCTTCGAAAGGTCAACTCATTTCATATATTATTGCAGATTAAAAAAAAAACATTGGTAAAAAGAGAAACGGAAGACAACTAAAGAATAGGAATGGAATTTCTGACAGAGATTAGATTGCAAAGCACCTTTTGAAATATATATATCCAAGAACAAAACAAAAGGGCCGTTCAGGATTGATATTATTTACAGTTTCATACAAATAAGACAGTTGATTGAACATGATTGTCAGAAAATAAATTTGGTGTCGACTCACCCTGTATCTTTATTACATTGTTTATCTAAAATCAAACTTAATATAGAACTGTAAACTTGCAAAAAATATTATTTTAGAGAAAGATGATTTAAAACACATTAGAAATTGAAAAAGAAAAGCCAACGATATGAAATAGAACACTAACAACCGAAACGAAAAAGTAATGCAAAGAAATTCCAGGTACAATATTTGAATAGATAGCAAATTCTATTTTAACAATATGCCATTTTTTTATATGAGTATGACTACTGTATGAAGCTGTATTTGATAGTAAGCCATATATTATTCAGATACATTTCTAGATCGTCACATTTGGTATAAATTGAAATAAACGAATGTCAGAGTATACCATTACAAAAGAAACTGAGATATTTAAGTGAGTAAAACGGTGATATATACATTTTGTATAATTATATTCAAAGAAATCACACAGAAAGCGTGTTGTGCTTCTTTAAAAATCAATTGGTCTGTAACATTTCAAAGTCTCATATATGTGAAGTTATCATATAATATACCCTGTTAATGCAGTGCCTGTATTTGTCTTTAACCAAAGCCACACTTATCTGCTTTATGTCTCGCTCCTTTGTAGTTCATGCGTAGGGTGCCCAGGCAACAAATATGAGCGATTTGGGTTAATGATATAACATACGTCTGTATTTACATCATTGCAAATAGGAGAACTAGACTCTTCGGAATATCGATGTCGTCTTTGTCTACAGTGGTCACGTTTTTCCTAAACTTGGGTCAAAGGTCAAAGCTAAAATTTTAAGGAAAACGTAGTCACATTTAGACAGCTTTCCGTCCCTAAATACATGCGTTAAGAGCGAAATAAGAAATAAATTCGAACAATTTAAGGATAATAATTATAGTTTCTATATTGAGGAATAATTTGATATTTCTGTTGCCAAATATGATCCGATATTGACCTTTGTACTTATTGAGTGCATATTTACAATTTTCATTCAGCTGTCAAATAGCAGTGACCTTGACCCATTACAATTTCCAAATTTGAATTTTTATTTTCGATTCGATACAACTGAACTCTAGAGATGTTTTTTTTTTTTTTTATATATATTAACAATTGTAAGTTCCACCCCCCCCCCCCCCCCCCCCCCCCCCCCAAAAAAAAGTTGAATTTCCCGTCTTTTGACTATTATGTTTGCATTATAGAATGAGAAGTACTGAAATCTGTGAAAACGTGGGGGAGGAGGCGGGAGGGGTGGGAGTGGGGGGTGTGGGGGAAGGGGACGGGGAGTGTCAAAGTTATGAAAGCACAATGTCAATTAGGAACAGGTTAATCACTTCATTCTACAAATTTATGAGACTTATTGAGCAGAAATCGGCTATAAAATTGACATGTAGTTAAGGATTATCTACAGGAAGATAGTACTCTATAGCATCGATGTATAATTTTACAACACTCGCTGACAACATAGAAAAATGGTCGAAGCTAGCAGAAGCTATTACGTGTACTTGTCTACTGTTAGTTTGAAAGCCCATCGACCACGTCTAGGTCAAACACCACATTGCAGGTTTTTTGTCTCGCCTGCGACGCAAATCACAGAATTCGACGATGGAGGCGGTGACGGCGTAAACTATATGTGTATAGCTTTATATTTCAGGGGGTAGAGGACCTTCATGCCTTGTTTATAGATGGGTTGTGTAACGAGGTTTCCGTATGTCATATGATCATTGTCCTTGACCTCATTTTCATGTTTCAGCGACTATTAAAAATAAACTTTTGACACAAACATATGTCTCGCCTCTTGGCATAAAATTAAGAAAAAGACAATCTGATGGACAGCAACATTGCTAATTAATTAAAAGTCACTGAACCATGAACTAGGGAGCAGGGCCTGGAAATGGTCAACAAACTGAGATGTACAGACAGTAATGTCACTTTATAGAAAATATTGTTGTCTATTGTAAGTAGTTCCCATCAAACCAACCTAAGCATAAAACTTAACATTGAAAAATGGTAATTGATTGAAAGTCCCTGGACCATCCCTACGGGAGCAGGAAACGAAAAAGTCGTCAAACTGATATGTACTAATAGTAATGCAACTTTACATAAAATATCATTGATCTATCACAAGCAGTTCTTATCAATTTTACCTTAGCAGAAAACGTAACACTGAAAATTGCTTATTAAATCAAAGTCACTGGACCATAACCTAGTGTACAGGGCCCGTATGCATAAAGCTACTTAAGTTAAGATTTTCCTTAGTAAACACTTAAGTTAAGGAAACTCCGCCCTTTTTACCTAAGTGGTATGCATAAAAAATCTTAAACTAAGTATTTCCTTAGTAAAATCTTAGTTGGTTTAAGTCACGCCCACAAAACTTAAGTGGTATGCATAAAACCCCTTATACTAAGAAAACTCCTAAGAGTATACTTAAGTATAAGGTACCTATAGAGCTACCTTAACTTTTCTAAAATATATAAAATCAGTCAAATGTATGCGTGTTTCGCAGAACATGGATAGATTAGCTCCCATTTAATTGAATAATAATTATATTCAGTAATATTTCGTATGTTTATTGCTAAATATTAACAATTATTGTAACTTTCGTAAAATCACTTATAATCAACAAAATCAAGAGATAACAGAGGGTAGTTTCATAATTTCATTCTACCTTTATTTCCCAATCTCGTTAGTGTGTATTCCGAAAAGTACTCACAGTTTTTACACGCATGGAATTCATGCAATTATATTTCTTTTGATTTGTTCGTGCCTGCTTACACAAGTATTATGAAATACACTGCCTGGTATTGATTGTAACTGTTAGTACAAAACTGTATGAAGGAAGGAAGCGATGAGGATCTATAGGCATGCAAAATCGTGTTTTCTTATGGAGGAGGGGGGCATGGGGTTAATTTTCAATTATATTGTTTTTTCTACGTATATAAGGCAAATTTCCCCTGAATTTGTTTCAATAACTGGGAAAAATCAAAACGTTTAAAGACCTACTCCGTGGAATTCGAAGTCTATATATATATATATATGATATATTCATGATACTTAACCCGTATTCAATAATTTTTTGTATGTCATGATATATTTAGTGATATATTGCTGTTAACAAAAATATTGCAAATTTGCATAGACGGGAAGACTTTAATCTAAATAAATTATGGTGTATCTGAAAGAAGTTTATGTTATAACTTCCAATAAAATAATAAGGTCCTTCTCGCCAGTTTTGGATAATTGCTCATTTTTTTCTAAAACCTACCATGAATGCATGCAGTTTTGAGTCATCTTTCGTCATGATAACTGTCAAGCGAAATATTCGGAAATACGCAAAGATGTTGACAATACCTTACAGTATACATATGAATCTAATAATGTGTGTTTTAGTAAAAGATTGAAGGACTTTTGAAAAAATACTCCTGTTTTGAGATGAATTCAGTGGCTCAGAGATTGAACAAATCTGTTTTATAAATATGATGACGTGGATTTAGCATACACCATTATTAGGCTGGATGATTTGCTACAAGATAATGTTGAGTTTCCATTCAGCGACTCCTCGGGTGATTGGAGTTTTGTTTGCTAAAAAGAATAAATTGCAAGTGGATAACTCGGAATCTTTTGATAATTTACATTTATCACGCCATGTATAAGTTGTCCCACTTCTTTTGTATCTCTTAAGAATCTCTCCTGATGGATTTTTGTCTACTTATTATATTGTTATATATTTGTTATTTTTTTTTCATCCCTAAGGGTGAGTGGCGACCAGAAGTACGGTATTTGGTCTAATACGGGACGTTCGTTTGGCTGTGCGGGATGTACAAGTACGCAACCACTTCCGGTCAGACTAGGGAGTTAAATCCTATGCTTCGTGTAGAGAGAGTGCCACACACTCTGACCGTTAAGAACACCTACAACAACTCTTTGGGGTCCGTAGGTAAGCTGTTGCAAGGGAGAATTATGCCCCTATCCAATATACCTTCATTTTCCAATGGTAGTCCAAATTTTCTTGACCTTCATCCCGGAAAGCGTCTATTACAAGATCCACTTATTTTATCTATTGTTAATTTGTTCTCGGCTTGAACATGCATGACATATTTGCCACTGGACTTTAAGCAAACATCGATAAGTCAATCAATTTCCTTCCAACCCCCTTTCATTTCTCCTTTAGTAACAGTAGGGGGAAGTTTTGCATTATAAATATGTTTTTCTTCCTACGCTCGCCCACCAAAACAACCTTTTCTCTTATGCGCCAATTTGTTTGTTTATTTTAGTTGGTTACGTATTTGTTGTTTGTTTTACACTCCAACATCAATTTAACATCAGTTCTTTAAACATTTATGTATTGTTCAATCAATGTAAACAATCAAAGCAAACTTTTACACGGATGAGTACATGCGATGAGCTAACATATATCATACGGTGATTAGAGAAAGGTTCCGATTTAAGTATTCCTTAGTTAAGTGAAGACTTAAGTAATGTTATGCATACGACTGAAGCTTTTTACTTAACTAAGGAAATTCCTAGTGAAATCTAAGTTTAAGGAACACTTAAGTTAAGATGTTTTATGCATACGGGCCCAGGGCCTCAAATTATTCGTCAAACTGATTTGTACTGATAGTAATGCAACTATAAAGCAAGTATCGTTGATCTATCACAAGAAGTTCCTGTCAAACTTACTTAAAGCAGAAAACTTAATATTGAAAATTTCTAATTAATTGAAAGTCACTATACCATGACTTAGGGGACAGGGCCTCAAAATAGTCGTCGATCTGATATGTTCTGATAGTAATGCAACTTCATACAACATATCATTGATCTATCACAAGTAGTTCTTACCAAACTAACTTAAGCAGAAAACTTAACAATTGTTGACGCCAACTACGACGACGTCGTCACCGAAAAAGCAATACCTATGCCTCGCCTTCTGCTACTTTCGTCGCAGGCGAGACAAAAACGATATTTGTTTTTGTCAGAAGAATGTCTCAATTATAATAAGTTATAGGGTAACTATATTTTGTTACTAGTATATGGTATCCTTGCAATGTCTACATGTCCGTCAGACAGTGCACTTGGCCTCCACCTCATTGCATAGGTCAGTGAACAAGGTTAAGCTTAGTGGTCAAGTTTGTATCTCAGATACTACAAGCAGTGGGTCAAACATATTTGGTGTATTGAATTATAGCAGGGTGTACATG